GCAACCCTGAAACAAAAATGACCCCTACCCCAAATCCAGCCTGAGCCTCTTTTGATCACTGGAATGGCTCTCATTCACACACCCGGGCATCCAGGTACCAACAGGGTATTTGTTGCACATGTGCTTGGTGCCAGGCCCTACTCTGGGAGCCTGGGAGACAGCAGTGCACAAAGCCCCCTGCAGTTTACACTCTAGCATGGGAGGCAGAAAACAAGCAATGCACACAGTTGGTAAGTAACTTACATAGTATGTTAGAGGCTACAAGTACTATGGAAAGAAGCAGTGGGAGAGGGAAAAGGGAGGACGGGGATGGAGGGTAGCAAGTTTAAACAGGGTGGCCAAGGTGGACCTTGTGGGGGAAGCAATAGTGGAGCAAAGATTAGAAAGGGGGGTGTGAGTGAGCAGATATGTGGGGAGAGAATTCCTGGCTGCCAGACAGGCCTGTGTGAAGACGGGAGGGTGGGAGGGCTCAGCAAGGTGGGCAGAGCAAGCTGGGGGAGGGGGCAGAGGGAGGAGAGGCTAGAGAGGCAGCTGGGGCCAGAGTGCGCTCGCAGATGGCACTGAGATTACCCCTCCCGGAGAGAGGAAGCAGCACTTTTTCCACTGGCCTTATCTGATGCTGTGGTTGAAGGAGCCAGTGAGGGCAGGCTCAAGGGGCTGCGGGGCTCGGCACAGCCGAGGAACCTCAGCAGAGCCTCAGAGCAGCGACATCCGCTCAGCCTGTGGCTTCTGCTTGTGGCTTCTGCATCTCAGGTTGTCCCAATGGCTGCTATTTTCGCTCCTGTCTGGGGTTCCATGGAGGGCTCCTCTCTGCACAGTTTGGGTTTGCTCCACCCAGAGCAAGGAGCAGGTAGGGGTCATCTAAACACCCTAAGAGTCCTTGGGGGACAATGACTATCCAGCAAGTGGGAAAGAGGAGAAAATCTGTCATATGTGTCATCTTGTCAATCCTCATTAACCTCCAAGCTCAGAGAGGTTAGGTGGCTTGTCTAAAGTCACACAGCCAAAACAAACCACACACTGAGGATTCTGCTCCAGCCTGTCTGAGTTTGTAGGTCTTGAATTTGCAGGGAGGTCTTTGCATTTACTACCTAAATTAATGTTTCCCAAGCAGATCCTCTGTGCTTTCCAGGCTTTCAAAAGATGTGAGAATAAAGGTGCATCTCCACAGGTGACATCTTCCCAGAGCATCAACAGCCCTGGTGAGGAGGACCATGATAAGGTGGGCACAGGGAAGGGGCCCCTGTCACTGGGTTCTCAGGGGGCAGAGAAGGCTCCTCAAAAGCCAAGATGTTGCATCCATGTCTCCAAGAATGAGCAAGAGTTCAGGGGGTAAAAGAAACCATCCTGGACAAAAGGGTTCCAATAAACAACATCAGGAGGGATGACTGCTTGGCCAGTGGGGGAGAGGCTTTAGGAAGGAGCAGGCCAGTGATTCTGGAGGAGGCAGAAGCTCACCGGTGTGGTGCAAAAAGTGAAATCAGACAGGTGCCCCAGCCCCCGGGGGAACAGATCCAGCAGATGACAAGGGAGGTCCAAGAAAAGACTTCAAGCAGGGGCTGTGTGCATCAGGTGGTTCATGGGGCTCTGCTGGCAATTGCATGAGCAGACTCAGAGGGGCGGGTGGGGACAGGAGACCACGCAGGAGGCTCCTGAAGCCACCCAGGTGAGGGGTAATAGCAAAGTGGGAGCTGTGATTGCACCCTGAGGGCAGAGCCAGCAGCACACACAGGGGAATGAGATGCAGAGAGAGAGGCAGACAGATGGCTCAAGGACAACTCCAGATCTGTGGCTGAACCCACGCAGGGAAAGTCAGTTTACTGAGATGGGCACAAAGAGGCAGGGGTGTGGCTGGGAGGGAGGGGGCGTGAAGCAACAAAAGGGCCATTTGGAGTCATGCTTCCTCCCAGATGAGTCCTCTGGAGGTGAGGACTTGCAAATCAGAGCTGCCCTTCCACACTGACACCCCCCATATGAAGGTCTCACCTGTTCCTCACAGCAAGTGAGACCCAGAGCAGGTTAGTGCATCGCCTCAGGTCTTCAGGCTAGAAATGCAGGCCCACCTGATTTTTCCTCTGGCTCCTCTCACAGACACTCAACAGCAGGAGGTCCCCAAGGCCCTCCCTGGGGCCTGGGAGAAGCAAGAGAATCTACCCCCAACCTGTGATGCTTTGGGCCTTTGCAACTGTGCACACACTTTAAGCATTTGCCAGGCCCCCTGGCAGGACAGAGATGGCGGCTCCTGGGCTGCCCCTGGACCCCCTTCCCAGCTGGGCTAGAGCCACTGCCCTGCCTCTGCTCCCAATTTCATTAATTACTGGTTTGTTAATGCACAAGACAGTGGGGGGAGAGTCAGTTGGGATGCCGCCAGCCCCAGAAAGGAAATTAATTTCCAACACAAAGCGCATCCTCCCCTGGAGGCTCCCCACATGCCCCTGATCTCCAGCACTGCTGAACTGCAGGGCCGTGGGACCAGCCAGAACTATTCTTAGGAGAGAATCGGAGACCCAAAGAGGATGAAGAACTTGCCCAAGATCACCCAGCAATTAAGTAACAGCAGGAAGAGTCCTGTGACTTGTGCTTCCCACTCCTGGGGCACCTTCATTCTTCCTCCAAATATCCAGGGAGTCCAATCAGACCTCCTGGTCCCAGTCAAAGGCTCGCCAGAGTCCCTCCCCCCCAGGAAGAGAGACCACATTCATTTCCTGAGCACCAAACACATGCTTTATGCATCTTATCCCACTTCATCCTCCTAACAGTCCATCATTTTGTTTTTTGTTTTGTTTTGAGATGGAGCCTCAAGCGGTCCCCCTGGGTAGAGTGCTATGGCATCACAGCTCACAGCAACCTCTAACTCCTGGGCTCAAGTGAGTCTCCTGCCTCAGCCTCCCAAGTAGCTGGGCCCATAGGCTCCGGCCCCAATGCCCAGCTATTTTTTGGTTGCAGCCATCATTGTTGTTTGGCGGGCCCAGGCTGGATTCAAACCCACCACCTTAGGTGTATGTGGCTGGCGCCTTAGCCACTTGAGCCACAGGCGCCAAGCCCAGTCCATCATTTTGTAGGTGAAGGGACTGGCTCAGAAGAGTAAGGTGACCTGCCTGAGGTCACACAGTAAGCAAGGAGTAAAGCCCATGGCTCAAATGAGGTCTTAATACCCGGGTTGAGCGTCTGCTCTCTATGCAGGGAATTAAGGGGTGGTGGAGGCCATTCTCCAGCCACACTCTCCCTCTCTTCTCAGGCCTTCCCCCCAGCCCAGGGCTCTCAGCAGAATGCTGGTTGTTGGCCGGCTGTTTCCCCAAGACCCCATCAATATAATACTGAGGACTGGTCTGGTATTTGGTACGTTATTCAGGAAGGGTTAGAACTAAAAGAATCCATTCTGCTTCAAGATGGCCAGTCAGTCCCTGTGATGACTCCTCCCCCAGTCAAGAACTCATGAAAGTAACCAGAGACGCAAAGAAATTGCTACCTGCCAGGTCTATAGAATGAACATGGTCCTGCATTGGTGCTTCCTAAACAGAGCCCAGAGCACTACGGGAGAGCTCTCTGGGTCATACACACGCACAGCCACAAACACATGCCCCTGTGTGAGCCACATCCTCTTCCCAGGCTGAGCCAATGTTCTGGGTCATTTGTTCATTTATTCATTCATTCAATATTGGTGCAAAGTGTTAGGTCGTGTGTGTGGTCATGTGTGTGCTCATGTGTGTGTATACATACTTATAGACATAAACACACATACATACACAAGTGTATACACAATCATCACAACACAGGGCAGTGGGTATCAGTGTCCCTATTTTATGGATGAAGAGACTGAGATCTGGAAGCCTCCAGGAGCCTGCCCTGTGCCACAGACCATATCTGCAGCAGAGCTGAGATTTGAATGTAGTACCTAACCCAGTCCCGGGTGCACAGTAGGCTCTCAGTAGCTACCTCCTCTGTGGCCAGCTGGCTCCAAAACCTACCCTAGCAGACCTGAGCCTGCTGCCTCTTGCTCACTCAGACCCAGGGTGGAGAAAGGGAAAATCGTCACAGGAGGCACAGGAGCTCTGTCTCTCGGTTTCTTGATTCACCGGGATGCTCCAAAAATGAGGGAAAACAGACCTGAGAAGGAGGATTCTGTTTCCAAGGCACACATGCTTAAAGCCAGATTTTCACCAACTGTGATTAATCAGAGCACCAGAAGAGGTCGGGCGTCCTGGGCTGCTGGGTACAGCACTATCAACAGCAACAAGCCCTGCCCCCAGCCCAGCCAACTCCCATCACCAAGACAGCCTGGCAGGACAGCTGGGGCAGTCATTCGTGCTGGGGTTCTGCCCTCGAGATCTCTGCCACCCATTACGTGCCTGTGTTTGCCCCCACAACTGTACCTAGGTCCTTCCTTATTGGCTGCTGTCTTTACTTCTGCAAATGTATGGCAAGCGGAGATCCCGACTGGTTATTTTTCAGTATCCTTACTTCACAAAAGGAAAAGGTGGCATTCGTTACATTTGGGGAGGAATTCCTATAGATTCCCCAAACCTTCAAATGCAATGGAAGGGGCAGCTGAGACTTTGTTCCTGGTGACATCCCTGGCTTTTCCTCACCTGGATACCTGGGTGAGGTTCCCACTCCTCAGCCAGGGTACCTTCTGGCTGTCTCCCTCACTGCTCTCATTGTTTCCAGCCTGAATCAGCCAGACCCCTCAATCCTCAACTGGCCTGCCCACTGCAGGGCATGCTAACTGAATGAATGAATGCTTCCTGAGCACCCTAGGCACCCAGACCACAACCTGACTCTGCTCTCCGGAGGCCAATCCCAGCCTCCTCTAGAACGCCTTTTCAAGAAGGAGCTGCCAAGTGCAAGCCTCCTGGACCATCCAAAGCATCTTCATTCCAGAATGTGACAGGCACCAGTCCAGGTCCCTGCCTGCCCCCACCCAGGCATCATCTGTCCTCAGCCCACAGTGACGGCCTGATCACCTCCACCCCGGGAGGCGGGAGGCACCCACCGCTTACCTTCTGCGGAAACACACCTGCAATGCACCAGTGTCTTCCAAGTAGAAGGAGCCCGAGTCTCATTCCACAGAAGCCCAGGCAGCGAGAGAACGCGCCCGCGACAGCCTCTGTACGATTCTGCTGCATAATCAGCAGAGAAAGAGAAAAAATGCCAGAAATAGCAAGCTTTATAAGCCCTCCTGACAACTCTTGGTCCTCTATTGGCTGGAGGCCCGGCACCCCCACCCCCCATCCCGTTCCTATAAGGTGAAATGGAAAAACCTGTTATTTAACCTCTTTTATCAAAATCCATCTTCTATCCCAATTTGGGCCTGCATGCTCGGAGCTCCTAGTGGCGGTCTCCACGCCAGGTCTCAGGGAGCAGAAGGGGAGGTAGCCCCTGTCTCAGCACAGCTCCACGTCATTTGTGGCTTCAGAGCCTTCCCCACTCACGCACGCTGCCTTGGGAGCCGCGTTGCACTGGAAGGGCCTTCAGAAGGCAATTTGGCAGCACCTGTCAACACGTGAAACTTACACGCCTTTTCATTCAGCAATTAGACTTCGGAGCATCCATCCTGAAGAGATACCTGCACTCAGTGCATGGATGCACGCCCATGCATGCTGCTTGTTCCAGAGAGAATTAGAGATAGCTAACTGTCTAGAGTCAGGGTCTGGCTGAATACTCTGACATACATCCCTTCTATGGAATGTGATGGACTGAGGAAGGCCGGTAGGTGCCGATTTGGAGCTGATCGGGAGAGAAAGTCAAGGACATGGTCCCGTTTTCATGAAAAACAATAACTCTGCGCGTCTTTGGATATGCAGTATAAAAGATAGCCAGGCTGTTAACAGTGGTTACACCGGGGAGAAATGAGGTCTTTCCAGTTGCTGCTTTTTCCTTTCTTGTTTCATTTTTTTTCTTTACCACAAGCATTTATTACATTTGTAATTTAAAACAAAACATAGGAGCCTCCCTTGGTTCCTTCCCACTCTTCTGAAGCCAGCAGGCCAAGGGCAAAGGTCACCCACCACAAGCCTTAATTGGGCTTGGGACCCCACTGGCCTGAGGCATTATGTGTCTCCCAGCAGCCGCCTCAGCTCTCACACAAGCAGCTAAATTCCGACAGAGCTGAGTTCAAATCTTAGCTGTGGCTGCTGGGGCAGCTGACTTCCCCCCCGCCTCGGTTTCTTCACTTACAAAATAGGGGAAAGAGTACCAAGGCAATGTCACGTGCTGTGCAGGTGCTAGTTAACCAATTTTAATGTTTTGGACACTTCAGAAGCAATGAAGTCTGCTGAAAGAAGCATTACAAAGCTGAGAGTATGCCGGACTGAGTGAGAAGAATCCTGGGAAAATCCCTCATTACTCAACACTAGAGCAATCAACCAAGCGACAGAGGGAAGAGGCTGGGGAAGAGCATGTTCCATGTGACGAAGGGGGCTGACTTCCCCCGTGTCCAGAGGAGGAGGGTACCAGGTGGAAGGGGTGATTGGAAAAGACCAAGAACCAAGAACCTTTGCTTCCCAGCCCCCGTATCCATCTCATGCTGTTCCCTCCGTCTGATTCTTCCCCAGACCTTCCCACAACTGACTTCTCACCCTCCCAGCTCTGCTCTCAGATCTCCTCTCTCTCCAGAGCAGGCACCTCTGATCTCAACTGCACCCAAATCATTTTCTCCACAGCACCCTCATCCAGCCAACTGGTGTCTGTTCATTTTTTTGACGGTTTCGGTTTCTGTGTTTATTATTCATCTTCTTCGTTAGATCAATGAACTCTAAGCTCCTTGACGACCAGGATCATTGGTTTTGCTCATTTTCAGGTCCCAGCTCCCAGCACAGAGCCTGATACACCGTGGGTGGTCAATGAATGAAAGTACACAAAACCCATAGATCCAGAGCCAAGATCCAAGCTCATGGAGCTTGTCTGAAGGAAAAAAAAAATGCAGATTTTGTACCACAATACAAAGATGGACGGAAATTTTAGACACACTGAAGAATTAGAAACACAAACACACAGCTATATAGGTGGTCGCGGAAACTATTCATGAACATTTATTTATATATGCTTAGGATGGGAAAGAACTTCCTAGGCCCACGTATGTGTGGACAAGGATGTTTACTGCATCATTATTCATAAGAAAATGGAAATGAGACACTAAAGTCCATTGACAGGGGATTGGTTAAATAAATCATGGCCCTCCATACAAAGGAATACTATGCAGCCATGAAAAATGATGGGCTTTTGTTGATGCAGAAATAAGCCCATATCATTTGTTGCATATTAAATTTGTTCACCGGAGACCAGAGAGTCTGTAAAAATTCTTCAATTGTCATTTACTCATTTATTTATTCATTCACTTAACAAGCATTTTCTGTTTCCTCTGTCTGTTCCCTATCCCCATGCAGGTCACAGTTCTAGATGCTGGAGCAATGTATAAGAGGACACTGTCCCTGCCCTCCAAGGCATCTAGCTTACTCCTGTGGGTGAGCAATTATGAGATAGCAAAGAGTGCTCACAGCTGAGAGCCTCAGGGGGGTTGGCTGAACGAGGACTTCACCAAAAAGGTGTCATTCAAGCTGGGATTTGAAGGAGGGAAAGAATTGGGATATAGAGAGAGGGAAGGAAGCATTTTTTTTTTTATTAAATCATAGCTGTGTACATTAATGCAATTACAGGGTACAATGTGCTGGTTTTATATACAATTTGAAACTTTCATCAAACTGGTTAACATAGCCTTCACCGCACTTTCTTAGTTATTATGTTAAGACATTTACATTCTACACTTAATAGATTTAACATGCATCCTTGTAAAATGCACCATAGGTGTGGTCCCACCAATGACCCTCCTTCCACCCATCCTCCCTCCTCCCTTCCCTCCCCCCGCCAAGGAAGCATTTTAAGAGGAAGACTTGACACCATGGGACAAGTACAAAAAGTCCCTGCATTCTTCATCACTAACTGAACTTGACCATCTATCTGCAGGAGCTACGCCAGGGAGCAGAAGATTCTGGACTTCATTTTGCCACATGTGCTGGGAGGAAGAATATCAGAGTCAAGACCACACTGTCCACAGGTGTGAAGGTGAGGAAGCAGCCTCTTGACCCTGCAGCCCCATGGGGGAGAGAGGGGTGGGGCAGGTGCAGCCACCTGCTGGGTTGGATAATGGAGGCTCAGCAATGTGAACCCCAGAGTGTGGGACTGGATTCCAGATGTGGCGCCGAGGTATCCAGTGTGGTGGGAGGAGGTTCCCCTCTCTGTGGACACTCTGCTCAGCTCCATCTAGGGTGAAGCTAGGGAGAGGCCCCCACGCCTTGAAAGAACTCAGCATTTTTTATTTTTATTTTTATTTTTCAGATTCTGAGGCAACTCGATGGTTATGGTTCAAAACAAAGAGAAATGACTCAGCTTCCTGTGGAGGAGCTGCAGCCCTTTTGGAAAGATATTTCTGTTTTAATGCTCCTCTCTGTCCTCAGCCACACAGGCAGGTGGTCCAGGGTGCTTATTTTCTTGCTGTTCAACTGTCCCCCCGGGTGAGGGGCAGGGACAATAGCCAGGCTCTGGGGCCATACTTCTGGGCTTGAATCCTGCCTCTACCCCTTCCTTATCCAGAGAACCCGGACAAAGTTATATCCTCCATGAGCCTCTGTTTACTAATCTTAAGATGGGAATCACTATTCCTTCCTGGTATGAATATTTGGCAAAACAGCTGCCACCGATGAAAAGGGTCTGGTCCAGCCTATAATTATCATTGTTAATATCAACAGCCACCATGCTGAGGGTCTGTGGTGCCTAGATTATCTGATTCAGTCTTCATGCCTGCACAGCACAAGTCCCCATTTTACAGATGAGGAAACTGAGGCCCAAAGCAGTGAGTTGACTTGTCTTTTCATCTCATGAAAGTCAGCACACACAGCTCAGACCAACTCACAACTGAATCTGCACAAGCCTTTCCCGTTGACTCTCATTCCACGGGGGGCTCAGGAACTTTTCTTCCTCCAGGTACTGAGGAACCAACGAAGGACTGAGCCCTTCTTGGGGGACCCCAAGGAGAGGCATGAAGCTGTTCAGGGAACCCCCTCCCAAGTCTAGGGAAAACTCCGAAGCTGAAGAGGGGGCAGGCTCATGCAAATCAAAAGAAGAGGACTTTAAAATGACCCATCATCCAAATGGCCCCCCTACGCCATGACGCTAACACTGAGTCTCTCAAGTCTTTCTAGAACTCACTTAAAAAAACAAACCTGATGCAGGTGAATACAAGGTAACCCGAGTCAGCCGCGAGCCAAGTTTCTATCCCCTCTTCCCTTCACCCTGAAGCACGTGCTGACAGAGCAGCCTTAATAGTAACTGCCTAATTTTAAACCCTGTGATTAGCGGGGTTGATTTCCACGGAACCTTCCTTTCACTGCACCGAGAACCTCTCATGAGCAGTAATTGCCAAGTTCAATTTTAGCTCTGTCATGCCCAACCATCAGTGCTAACTAAGGCGGCTGCTTCATCGCCAGGTAAGCTGGTAATGAAGTCGGCTTCACAGCTTAATTTCACAATATTGTGATGCCCCCGTCAGCACCCGTTAAGTGTTGAGAAGCTTGGAGCTACTATTAAACAAATCACACCCGAGGGACGAGGGACATGACTAAAGCTGCTCTGCGCCTCTCAGGTGGCCTGCCCAGCCCCTCATGCCCACGATGTGGTTGCTAATCCCATGCGCCTCTTAAACTCAAAGCACAGACCACCACAGGCCCGGGCCACCCCCCCGAGGGTGTCCTTCTCCCTGCTGCCTTGGTCTCTGCAGTCACCTCCTGTTTCCTTCCCATCCCTACCACCCTGGCCCTCACTCTTCTGGCCTGGATCCCCAAACCAGCCTGTTAGCTCACTCTCTCCCATTCATTTTCCAGACCAATCAGTAGAGCTTTCTTGAAGAAAAAAAAAATGTGGCCCCCTATCTGCCGTTCCCCATCTGAAAGCCTTCAGGGAGCCCCACTGTCCTCAGGGTAGAAAGCACTTTCTTCTAAGGCTCCCCATGATCTCACCCTGCACCAAGCTCTCAGACTCACAGCCCAAGGACTCTCCTGCCCCAAGCTCCACACACCCCTGGGCTGATCACCCTGGTAAACAAGTCCATCCAACTTCATTTTCCTTAGAAAAAAATGTCTCAGCCTTGACTTCCTGCCCCATAAGGACAGCAGGAAACCTCTGCAGAACAGGTCAGAGGTCAACAGGTCAGCTTGGCATGACCTCTGGGGTCTCTCAGCAGCAGCACTGGCTGAATCTTTGGGCCACATTGTATAAATGCCCCATAAGACACTCTTAGCAAGCACCTGCTGTGTCCTGGGCACTGGTCTTGTCTCTTTCT